TGAGCCCTCACCACACCCGTTTCTGAAACGTTGCACACGTCTAATGGCTAATAAATGTGATGTGTCTGTCGAGTTTCATGCAATTTGAAGCATGCTAAGAGTCTCAAAAGCATCCTAAAAGAATGGTAAAGTTTGATGCGTTGCCACGGCAACAGTTTCAAAGATATCAAGAATCCATTTACAGGTCTTCATCTGCCATGTATTTGCATTATACAGATGAAGTTTGAAGCAAATCGAGTTAAAATTAGAGGGTGATTTCAAAGCATTTTGAAAATGACACACTTCCTGCTGCCAGTTGGTGGCGCTATAACTTTGACTCACAATAGTCACATCCATGTGATCGTCCTCTTACAGCGAACACACTGCTGAAGTTTCATCAAGATCGGTTGATGTGTGCTGAAGTTATGATACACTTCCTGTTTCACGTTTCTCGCCATAATTTTGTTTCCTCGCCACGGCCAAACCGTTCGAGATATCAAAAATCCCCTCGCAAACTTTCATCCTCAATGTCTTGACTTCACGCTGACCGAGTTTTCGTCGAATTTGGATCAAAGCTCTAGGAGGAGTATTAAAAATTCCATTGCGAGTGTTTTACGAACAACCCTAAATAGCCGACTTCCTGTTGGGCTGGGGTAAAAAGTAAAAGCGCGAGGTATAGATGAAACGATGAGATCAACATGTGTACCGAGTTTCATATTATTACATGCAAGCGTGTTTGATTTATGGACCAAGTGTTCGGACCCCGTTCCAGGGGGCGCTGTCGAGCCCCCCTGCCACGCCCGGGTACCAGCTTCAGCCCGGCCCTGATGGCCGCGGGTTCTGACCCGTGTGCAAAATTTCAAGAGTTTTCGAGCATGTTAAGGGCCCCAAAAGTGCCCGAATAGTCGTTAGAAAAAAAAAAAAAAAAAAAAAAAAAAAAAATAATCGGAAGGAAAACAATAGGGCCTTCGCCCTTTCAGGGCTTGGGCCCTAATTAATTTGACCATCATTATCGGTGGCGAAGGCTCTTGGACAATGTACTGCCCACCACCTAAGTAATTATCACAATGATAATGAAGACGATTCATTGACGATGATAAATGAGAAGCAGCATTATAATAAACAAAGTAAAAAGTACAAGTCAAGTAAAAAAAAACACTTTAGACAGCCACCAACTGAAGAATTATATTCGTCAACTAAATTTAGTATATGCCATGTCAAATAATACATTTTACATGATGGAATATTGACTACATACTGTATGCAACATTTCATCATGTAAAAACTAGATGAATATGAACAAACCTGTTGACAGTTTTTTTAAATTAAAACATTTGAGAGGGCTTTTATCTGGCGGACTGTGACTTTACACATATCTACTTGAGAATTCTGCTGTTAAGCAGTCATTTCTGACATTGCAATGTTCACTACAGCGTGTGTGACTATCAGTATTTTTGGAAGTCCATTGACTATGTTCTGTCCCAATCAATACCACTCAACCTACACACGAACCAAGCTAATGTACTACACACAGGTGCTCTGCTGTTTGTTTGGGTTTTTTTAAGAGAACTTGGAAACTGAAAAGAGCTTGGAGCGAAAGCTGTAACAACACCTAATGTGGAAAAGGCAGCACTAAATGCACAAAAATTTGAGACTAATGCTGAACTCTATATTTAATTAATCTGAGGTCAGTTAAATCTACAGTGTGTCGGAACAAATACTTTAATGGAAAATAATGAGAGCATGAGCTCACTGTTGGTTGGTTGCTAAGAACACTGGGACTAATAGTTGACTCTGAAAGCCATTCTCTACCGTTATTACAAAAGATCGAGCTTATCAGAAAGAAAGAAAAAAAGTAATAATACACATTTTCAGACACAAGATATACACTACCATTCGAGAAGTAAGGTTTCTTAAATGTTTTTTAATTTGATTAATTTTAAATTAATTTGATTTGATACTTTTAATTTGTAATACAATTTCACAATATTTTAACTGTAGTTTTAATTAAATAAATGCAGCCTTGGTAAGCAGAAAAGACTTACTGCTCCCAAACTTTAGAAAGGCAGAGTATGGGATTTGACAATTATTGCTTTTTAATTTGATTAATTTGAAACTTTTAATTTGTAATACAATTTCACAATATTTTAACTGTAGTTTTAATTAAATAAATGCAGCCTTGGTGAGCAGAAGAAACCTACTGGTCCCAAACTTTTGAACGGCAGAGTAGGGGATTTTACAATTATTGCTTTTTAATTTGATTAATTTGAAACTTTTAATTTGTAATACAATTCCACAATATTTTAACTGTAGTTTTAATTAAATAAATGCAGCCTTGGTAAGCAGAAGAGATTTACTGCTCCCAAACTTTTGAACGGCAGAGTAGGGGATTTGACAATTATTGCTTGATGTCAAATTATTTTTTGTGAAGAAACATGAAAACATGACACTCTTTCACCACCAATATCCCAGAAGTCTGAGCTCTTCTCACCAATGAGTCTCTCTCCTATTTCTACCATACACCTTCTCCTCTTCTCTCAACTATAAACACCAATTTCTCACATCTGGGTAGTGCTTTTCGCTGATGTCAGGATAGCACATCTGGGAGAACACATGCTTTTGTTTATGGAACCATTTGATGAGTAAATACCAGATCCTTGGCCATTCAGGTTCTCTTTCTCCATTTCTTGTTCACCATATTAATTTAAAGTCACAGTGTGTACTTTCTACATGACTAGCACTATTAAACTAAGATTATGAGCAAACAGGTTTCCAAAACAGGTAATCCCCACCCCAAACTCATGCTTTTGGTTGAGCCAGTGTTGCCATGTCGAGACACTCAAACAAACAGAGCAATGTGGAAAGTGCTGCACAGATGCACTTTTTCTTTCTTTTTTTTTGAGAAAGTCAATCAATATAAAGTTGTGGGACAGGAAATAACACAAAGCACCTATAAGTCCCTGAAAATACACTAGAATTAGAGACTGATGCGGTACTAACTATTACTGAGATTCAGTGCTATTACTGGGTTTCTTCCATACTGAAATTACACACATCTTCACATTAAACGTCTAAAGAAAGATTATATTTTATCAAAATTATATGTTACTGTTACAATAGCACAAATGTCTTTTCCACTTATAATTCTTGGAAAGTCTGAGGATTTTTTTACAGTGAAAGGCTTAAATAGACTACCATTCAAAAGTTTAGGGTCAGTGAGATTTTTGAAAATGTGTTAGTGAGATAAGGAGAGAAGAGCACAGGATCACTCACTGGACCAAAAACAACATTACCTTGGAGAGGATCCCAATGCTAGGAATGTGGTTATTTGTTTTCAACAATCAGTTGTTGAAAAGTTGTTGTAATCGGTATATTTCACATTATTTGGTAAATCAGTCGCAATTTCGGTGCAGGCTTTGCAAACAGACTTTTATGGACTCAACAGTAATGCGACAACATGTAGGTAACTGTGTTAAATAATCATGTTCTTTGTCTACATGTCAGTAAATCAAACCAGAGACTAAACATTCAAATCCAGTTGCAATGACGAGATTGATGCATTCACGAGCTCAACATGTCTGTAATCGGCAATAATGCTCATCACTGCAACCTTTTCATCTAAATATAATGCAATAATCACCACTTTTCACAATTAGTTTAGCTGTAATAGTAAAGACAAGCTAAAAGTTTTCTAGAGAGTTCCACATGTACTAGCTATTTCATATGCAAAGATGTTAGCCAAATTATGGCAGTGGGTGTTTACACTGAATGCTCACAGCAACTTGCCATCAGATTTACAAGGTAAATTACCTCAATCTATTCCTGTTAAAAAGAATTGCTGCATGGTCTCTTATTTTACAGGTCTTTGACACCAAAAAAATAAATAAATAAATTCATGTGGAATACCACAAAGTCTTTTACTTTCACTAAAACTGAATCCTCATAACAGCTCTTTTGCATATGGGATAACCATGCAATAAATTGGGATGCGCAAAACAATCAGTACACTGCCGTTAAAAAGTTTGTGGTCAATATGTTTTGGAATTTAAATTTTTTTTGGAAAGCAAAGAAATTAATACTTTTATTCAGCAAAGATGCATAAAATTGACCAAATCTTGACAGGAAAGACTTTTACAGGGTATTTTTACATTAAATAAATTCTGTTCTCAAATATATAGGCATAATGCGCCAGAATAGACTTTACGGGCAAAAACACATTTCAGACTGGATGGAATTATCCCGCTTTATATCTGAGGAAAATGCGGGATTCTGTCACATGTTTATATACAGTCAGAATAAGGCACTCATACAAAATCTATCCAGAAAACATTTACGGTGAAGAGGGAGAAAGCACTGTTAGGTGTTCTCGACCTAGATGGCATTGCCTATAAACGAGCACGAAAACACGAAGGCTTCGAGTCAACACGCCACAATGTTTGGACCAGGATTGTGGCACTCCGGTGGAGTCTTTGTGCTCATCTATGGCAACCCTATGGTAATGCCATGTTGTTAGATTAGCACCAGTAGAATTTCCTTTTGTTGGAAGCCCAGATAAAAGTAAAAAGCTACTATTATATTTAGATCAATGTCAGAAAGAGTGTATTCTCGTAATTTTGACTTTAATCGCGAAATGGTAGAATCTTTTTTTTTTAATGTTGCAGTTCAGGGCTTCCGTACATAAGAGACTTTTTTTTTTAAATCTTACCAACCCTGTTTTTTTGATCGGTATAGTGCACATATTTTTAAAAACAACTAGTTGGTGAGTTGCCTAAACAGTTAATAAGCTAAAAACTGAAAAGCAATGCAAGCCGTCAGCACATTTTCATTGTTGTTAAAAATATTAAAACTGAGCAAGTTAAACTCCATTGGTGGACACTGAATGACAGTGGACTGTTGCCATATGCCGTGATGATTCACATTCATAAACCACAAAATAAATCAGCAATTTAACCAACTTAATACCATATTAGCAGGTATTCTTGAAAAATAAATTTAGTTTTTTTCTGGCAGTAAAAACTTACATCATCCTCATGGGTGGAATTCTGCAGTGTCATTGCGACCATAGGAGATGCTGTTACCGGGGCAACAACAGATATGGATCTGTCCTGAGCCAGCGTTGGCACAGTGACTACACGCGTGGGCACTGCTTGAGGCGTCTGAAGCTGGACAACCTGAGTGGGCCGAGATAGCATCATTTGTTGACCTGCAAGAGAAACATTTAGTTTAAACACTTTACCGCTCAAATAAAGTAGGAAATGTACTGAGAGTCATGTTTTGCTGTTATTTTTCTTCACTTTTTATTGATCTCCATTAACCTCAAGACTTTACAGCACAGATTTATTTAATAACCCCAAAGAGGGGTTTTAATCACAAAGGAAACAGTTGTGCCAAGCACCATCCTTCACCCAGAACAAAACACGTCACCTCCAGGTAACACAGACAAACACAATTTGTCAGGCATGACAGGTTGCTGTTGGTGTTGAGTTAAATGAGAGGAATTCGCTGCGTCTCCCCGGCGGGGTTCATTCCGAACGACTTCCATTCTCTCAGCCACCCACTGACTTACCCATTAGTCTTCTGACAAACTACAATTAACCTTGCATCAAAACTCTGCGGTTAGCCAGAAAATAATTACTGTAGCATGAGCGCAATCAGTTCAAAGTGCACTTCAGCTATGTTTCTCACAGATGGATGCAATACATATATAAGCAGCTCGTGTCAGTTCTCTCTTTTCTACTGAGAAAACAAGAAAAAATTGCTTTGTGAGACAACTTGTAAACTAAACAGTATCATCACGCAAGGCAGCAGTTCTCAAAAACTGAGTGAAAAAAGTGATTGTTTGGAGTCCAGTGATTTGTAAAATAAATTCAAGTCTAGTGTTTTAGATTAGATGATTACAGGATCAGGTTTGAATTCAGGCTGCTCTTGCTTTCAGCCCCAGTTGTGTTTCCAGGTGTGTGAGGTAAGTGTTTATTCTAGCCATGAGGAAACGGATACTGAAGCTTGCTGATTCCTGACAGCCATAGTTTAACACGCAAGATATTAAACAGTCACCTATTTCACCAGAGCAGTCTGTGGAGAAATCTTTTTCCTACTGTTCTCAATCACAATAAATCAGCATTGATTGCAGTAAAAATGAATGCAATGAATGAATGCTATTAAAATATACAAATAAAGTAATTAACAATTTTCCGTTAGAACATTCAAAAAGAAGTACAGGTGAAAAGTTTGGAAACATTACTATTTTTTATGTTTTTGAAGTCTCTTGTGCTCATCAAGCCTGCATCTATTTGATCAAAAATACAGAAAAAAACTGTAATAGTGTGAAATATTATTACAATTTAAAATAATGGTTTTCTATTTTAATATACTTTAAAATATAATTTATTTCTGTGATGCAAAGCTGAATTTTCATCAGCCAGTACTACAGTCTTCAGTGTCACATGATTCTTCATAAACCATTCTAATATGCTGATGTGATTCTCAGTTATTTATCAATGTTGGAAATAATTGTGCTGCTAAATATTTTTATTTATTTTTTTGGAACCTGTGATACTTTTTTTCAGGGTTCATTGATGGATAAAAAAAACTCAAATGAACAGCATTTATTAAAAATAGAAATCTTTACCATCACTTTTTATAAAATTACCACATCCTTGCTAAATAAAAGTATTAATTTATTTATTATTTTAAAAAAGAATACTGACCCTAAACTTTTGACCAGTAGTGTATATTGTTACAAAACATTTTTTTTAAATAAATGCTGTTCTTTTTTAACTTTTCATTAATCAGTATTCAGCAGCACTTGTTTCCAACATTAAAAAAAATCAGCATATTAGTATTAGTAAGTAAAGCTAATAGAACTAGTAATGATGCTGAAAATTCAAATTTGCATCACAGTAATAAATTATATTTCAAAGTATATTAAAATAGAAAACCATTATTTAAAATTGTAAGAATATTTCATAATTTTGTTAACTGTTTTTTCCTGCATTTCTGATAAAATACAGTAATTTATATTTCTAATTATATATATATATATATATATGATAACTATGAACTACATTTAATAAATTAAGTTTATTAGTAACTATTTAATAAAAAAACTTATTAATAAAATAAGTTTATTAGTAGTAAATTAAGATAGGTAATGATTCTGCTTTTTCTAGGATACATAACAGGGAAAAAAAGGTGTAGCAGCAGTTGAAGAACAATTCCCAGATTGCTTGAAGATAGATATTTTTAAATGAAATGACCACCAGTAGTAAAAAGGTTGATGCTTTGCGCCATCTGCTGGCTTTTTTATGAATTAACAGAGCACTGCAATTCAACCTGAGACAATTAACCTTTGCAAATAAACAAATAAAAATGTATTAAAATGTGAATACATAAAATAATTTTATTACATAATACTTTGTAATAAGTTTTAGTTTTTTTAAGTGTGGCAGAATAAGGGACTAGAATAAGAGTTTTTTTCACCTGTAGGGGGTGCTGGCTGAATAGTGACAGGTGGAGGTTTCACCACCGGTAGAACAGTAGTCTGGAGAGGTTGGATGATGATGGTTTTAGTCTGAAGCGGGGCTGCAGCATGGGCGATGGGCATCGTGGTAATGAGTGGTTTAGGCTGAATGGAAACCTTGGGGCTAACCTGAATTGGTCTCTTCGCGGGTTGGAGAGGCTTTGCTGTAAAAACAATTTTACTGTTAATCAACATTATTATAAAAAGTTTAAAATACACTGTTCAAATAAGAATATTAGGGATGTTTCAGTTATTCACAATGAATGTCCTTCACTTACCTTTTGTCTGATTGATCCTCTTGGAAGGCTTCTTCTCAGTGGGTGCCTCAGCAAAACCGCTCGAGTCAGAACAGACAGACAGTGGAGAGGGCTGAGATTGCCATGAGACTGGAGAGAGCGCCTCATCCTGAAGAAAGCATTTTGAACAGAATGAAAAAAAAACAATTTCCGACACGTCAAATGTATGGCAGCATAATAGTTAGTTAGGTCTATCAAAGAAAAGCCATCCGTGGCCTTATAGAGAGAAAAAGAACTGAAAGTGTACTCAAGCATGGGAATTCTGGGTTGTAAATCCAGATGGTCTAAAACTATACATGTTTGCACATATCCAACGACAGATCAATAAAACCATAACACACTACAGAACACAGGTGATATAAGCCTATTCTTTAATGCGTCTTGTGTCTGACTGTAACTGAGCCATGGAAGTCGTTTTTTAAAAACATGTTAAAAATAGTTCAACTTGAATTGAGTATCCATCGTTTAGTTTCATTCATCCATCCATCTTGTTTTAATGAAAACAAGAATGTGTCCTATGAGCACGACCCTTTACAGGATGTTGCGTCATTCAATAACAGAACAGAATGGTAACATTCAGTATATGCAAACTATAGCAAATACGTGGCATGTTAAATAGATTAGTAATAGGTAAAAGGTTTTTAGTTCCCTTCTCATCAAGTTTCTGATGTGACACTAAGATTCAAGTGTTTAGGTTTTCACTGAAACAACGTGCATGTGTGATAGTGGCATTTCAGTTTTTCTTTGAAACCTTGAAAGGGACACTGTGATTTTTGTTATTAAACCATGAACAGTCAACACACATTACAAAAACAGCCTGGACATCTCAATGTGAGACATTAATTAGTTTGATGATGTGCTGAGAGCTGATTAAGACATTCGTTAACACAGTGGAGACTTAATTAGACACCTAATTCACATGGGTGTATGTGCGTGTCTGCCCTCTTGATCTCTGAACTACAGCAGCTGGCAGGACCAGTTAACCCCAAACACACTCCATCTGGGCACTGGATGGGCATCCGACTAATTAAGTCATTAAATAAAGGCAGAAAAAAGAACTGTATCTGGGTGTACAGTATATATATAATAAACTAAACTACTAAAATATATTATAAAATATAAATTATATAATATTTGAATACAATTCTGTCTATCTTTTGCGATTCCTAAATGTTATATTATTATAGCTAGCTATATGTTGCTATATGCAATAAATAAATAAATAATTGTGTGCATGTTAAGTTTGTCTGTGATTGTAAAAGGTGTGGAGTTCAAAACACTGGACAGATTTAGATGCAAAGTTCAGTGGGCAGAAATGCTAAAGGACAGTGTAGTGTAACTTTGTTTTTGGGAGTGGAGTTTGACTCACATGTGTGGAGTACGGTGAGTAGGGCTCAACTGACGCTGGTGAGGACACTGAACTGAGCGTATGGTTTGGTGACAGTGAGTCCACGGTTACATCACCGTCTGTGAGATCAACAGAGAGAACAAGGACAGGAATAAACTTTGAAATCAGATCTTTTACCTAGACACAGTGACCCTTGAATGGTGACAGTACATGTTCTTTTCTACATTTTGCTTTGGAGATATTCTACACATTTCTCAAAAATATTAAGCTAGTCTGAATTCATTGCTGCTATAGACATTAAAAAATAGTCATGCGCAGTCCACAGGAAACTGAAAATTAGTACCTGATCGAGGGCTACTCCACACTGGGTGTTCAATGTCAAAGTTCAGATCAGGGACAGAAGTGTCCTAAAGAAGGAAAGATCCACAATGCTTTTGATTCATGCTTAATTACTGATGTTTTAAAAAAAAATATTACACTAATTATAATGATAATATAAGCTAGACAAGTCTATTAAAGAAGAGTTTATCCTTTCCGAATGCTATTTAAAAAAATGTATATATAATAATTCAAAGAAAAACGATTAGTGTGATCTGGCGTGACCTGTTTTGACACATTTGACTCACATAGCCTACACTCTCCACCAGTGCCTCCAGAAGCTCGTCAGCATCCCCAAGATCCTCCAGATCATCAAACAGACTGATATCTGCTTAAGTAAAAAAAAACAAAGTGCTGAAGGCATGAGAGCAAGACAGGAAATATATCAATTTCATGAACCTTTTGTGTCCAGAAAAAGCGACCAGCAACCATTTACCCTGAGGCATTGTAAGGTAATTTGGTTTCCATTTCTTTTATATGTTAACCTAAAAACTGACACACCGTGATTAAAAAGTAACATTATAGTAACTATACCTGGTTTACACAATTCAATCAATATAATAATTTATAATCCAAAACATGTAGTGAGGAACATTCGAATAAATAAACGTGTTACTATTTTTTAATTCAACTACTTAAATTGATTAAAAGCCACAAAAATACGGATGAATGGAAAACAAGTTCACCAGTCAGTTGACTGTTTGAAATCGCAAACAAACCACTACGTTATATAACGTTACATTATAAGTCGCTCCACAATGTGCTTGATCTAAACACACAAAGATATTTTGCTAATAGTAAATCTAACGTTAGTAGAATACGTCGGTAGTTTACGCTTCTCGAAAGGAGCACGCGCTGTTTCTAGAAAGTGTATCTTATCTTACCCCACTCTCCATCCTGATCGATGGAAATATCCCCTGCTTCCTTATTCATCATCGACTGATTCACAAAATCTAACATCAAATCCGACGACATTATGCCTTGAACACATTAGTAACGTTTAAAAGTGAGTCGGATGACGGACACTGGTTGTAGATTAGGTCTGTGTGAGGATGTTAACACGTATTTCCCCGATTCTGATGAAACTACATAACAACAATAATGCAGCAAGTACACGTCTTGTTTTACGGTAACTACGGGTGCCGGAGTGGGTCTATCTGTCAAACACAGGCCTGTAAAAGACTGTTGTTTTTCCTCTCTACCCCACATGGTGGCAGTAGACAATAGACTGTAAAAAATAGATCATTGTAATAAATAGTTCATTTTAAGAACCGGTTCAAAGACTGATTCAACTGGTTTAGGCACATCTACATGTTCTAAAACGTTTTTTCCCCCGAATTAGTTGACTACATTGTAATTTCATGCGTCGTAGTTCAGTTTGGTGCAGTCACGATTAATCTGATTTAGAAAAATAATTTAGATAAAATTTTAAACAATACTAAAAATAGGCCTACATTTTTTTTTTTACAATTATTACTTTTTTGGCGTTGTAATACAATATTTTATTAAAATCAACCTTTTTTCCTTATGCTTATATTTAGGCTGTAGCCTGGCTAGGCACGTTTTAATCTCTTCGGCTATAGCTAGTAGGCTAGCTAGACCTTGTTAACAAGACAATCAACATAATAACTTACAATCCAAAACATATTGATGAACAGTCGCTTAAACAAAGGCGTTTCGCCTAATTAGTAAAAATCTTCGGTTCACTTCAGCAATGGATCATGTCCTATTCATCATTCAATCACAATTTCTATTCTATTCCTATATTCCTATTCCTGAGTTTCTTAAAAGCATTTCTTAAAAGCAGACCACTTTGTGAAATGTTTCAACTGATCAATTTGAAAGATCCGACTCAAAACAAGAATTAATTTGCCAATCATACTTAATGAATAAAACCGGGTTGACACTGCATTGAAGATTTCCATGAAAGCTTTCAATTGACTTTTGTATCATACCGCTTTTTTTTTAAATTTAACTCGTGCTTTCCTCAGAGCATTTCCAGCAACTCTATTAAAAGACCTAACTAGGCAAGACTGGGAATTTTATTACTATGTAGGCTACTATATAAGAGATATAGTTTAGGCTACTGTAGGCTTACAAACATAGCTGACACTTTGACTATGTGAACTATAAGCCAGCCTTGGCCACTGGATATCCTATTTAAAGCATCAGTGTTGGATAAAATAAAAGATGCAAGATATGTAACACGTATTCAACAAGAATAATTGAAATGCTTTTTTTAAGTGACAGTAGAACAAAATACATCATAACGATTAGCAGGCTCTAGACTGGAGCTACTAATTATGACTGTCAAATTGACATACAAAACAAAATTTAGGGAAAAAAATTAAAGTTGTTTGGTAAAAAAACAACCAGCTGAGCTGTAGGATATAACAGGTTTCTTATTCTTGTTCATCTTTTAAATGTCAGACCAGCAGCTCACACTGGTTTGAGGATCTGGAACAGGTGTTCATAGCCATAATCTTGTTGGTCTTCCCAGGACATTGTCAGCTTAGCCTGAGGTGGTCTCAGCAATCTCAGCTGGATCTGAACCTCTCACACTTTACCCATGGAACGTTCTTGTGTTTTCAAAAAACCTAAACCTATCATTTAACCTATTATTTAAAATGTGGCCATCAATTATCCAAAATTCAATAAGCTACTGAAGTTGTGATTGTACTAAATAAAACACAACCGATTGAGTAGGCCTAAGTCAGTTTTAAATAATCATTTTTATTTTATTTTTTTTGCTATATGAATATGAGGGAGGTTTTTATGTCAAGCCATGTTAAGCACTAAAAAAAGCCATTAATTCCAAATGTGTTTTAAGATAAAAGCATCCATTGAGTTAAACTGATTTGTGTGAGTGGGTTCTTTTTCGTGTTTTAGCCAATCATGAACCAGTATGGTCCATTCAGGTTAATTGCATAAACCCACCAGCCCCCTCACACAAACTGTCTGAGTATTAACAGGTTAATATAACGCATGTCAAGAGCATCCATTTGGAATGGATTAGAGCTTTGAACACAATCTCTTTATGTTGCCATAGGAACTTGTTTGTTCAAAAACAGCTTTGAAGAACAAATGTGTGGCTGACTTAAGGTTTTCAAAATGTAAATTAAAAAAAAAGCAGGCAAAAATAAATAAATAAATAAATAAATAAATAAATAAATATATTTGGGGGGTCATAACGCAAGTGAACCTTAGTTTGAGATTTTTTGTCTATATCCTTATGTTTCCCCTTATAAGAAAAGCAGTTTTAGAGCTTCCTGCTGGAAAACAGATGAACTAAATATATAAAACAGAAGGATTCACAATTCCATAAAATCACCCCCACTCCTCGATTTCAGTGCTTAATTTGCACTTGCATCTCTGTGGGTGTTTTAACTCAGCAGTCATCAGGAGAAAGCTTCAGTCTGGAAAAAAAAGATAGAAAAGAGCAGAAGAGAGTAAGCAAACAGACATTTCACAAACTGCTCACTTCATCTTTTGTTTGCATGATGGATATCCTCTGAGATTGATGAACACAGTTGTTGAACATTGTCTCCTCAAAGCGACAACAGAAGAGGATCACTTATCATCTCAGCTTGTGTGAGGGGGATTTGTGTTGGATTTGGAGAACAAATGAGTGGAGTGTAAAGTAGAAGGACAGATTGAAAGAAGAGCGTTTGCAAATGGGTTGCCAGTTTCAGGAATAGAAAAACAACTCATAACATGTACGAGTGTCAGAGAGAAATGTTCAGTAGGTCTTGTAGGTCCATCACTTGTAGGTCTTCATCCTTTGGTTTGTGTCTGGGTGTATGATGGCAGGTGGCCTAGGTCTGGTGTGATGGGGGTGGGACGTGGCTGGGGCACATTGTTTGTCTGGATGGGTTTGTGAATACAAAGGGATTACTGCATATGGTTTGGCTCACTGACAGCTCTGACTGTGTGTGTTTGTGTATTTGTTAGTGTGTTAGAAAGAGAGTATGTGACTGATTATCTCTGAGATAAGAAAGCAAAAGAAACATGATGGAGGTTAAAAGGGGCAGACTCAAGAGAAAATAAAAAACAATAATAAACAAACAAAATCCAGGGGCGTTTCTATGGCAGCTTGTGTTAAACACTTAATCTTTCCAAAAAAATCCAAATATTCGACATCATACTTTATTCACATTTTGCATTCATCAAATTTATTAGGCAGAAGAAACTGACAGCAACTTGTTTCCTCGTCTTCAACCCAAAATGGCTATAAAATAAGAGAATCTGAGTGAAAAGAAGAGGATAACAAATTGCAGGCCTTACACCATGTGCCACCATTAAGCCCACACAAAGAGATCAGTGACAAATGACCGTTTTAATTCTTCGGTTTGACTTTAATAAATTAACCTGGTCTAATAGACTTAAGGAAAGGGGTTCAAACAGAAAAGCTTAAATGGTGTGAGATGGGTTGGAAAAATAGCCATTCATCTTGTTTACCATGGTCTTGTGTTCTTTAATAGGTCATTTACAATGAGGGGACAGAGTATGTGGGGGTTGTGGGATGAGTAGAGGGAACCTAGAGGGAAGGGCCTTGTGAAGTCACTGGTCATTTAAAGTACTAACCCCACACTAGTTCAAGACTGGTGAATGCTGGTGACTTCTGAATAACCTTCGGTGGTAGTGAGAGCTCACCCCTGTGTGACCCCACACTCTAAGGAACAGACTGGGGGGATTCCTGAGCCACCACACATGAAACCAGGCGGCCAGACAGATCATTTTATTGCTGTTTTGTTTTCTACTTTGGTATTATATCAAATTTAAAAACAAGTTTGATTAGGCATATTTTATACAAGTTACTATACCAAATAAAATCAAATGTATAGTTAAAACAAAAAAATAAACACTATATCCGCTATAGGCCAATAAATTGCAACACACCCTAGTGGCAATTCATACAGTGAATTGGTGGCTAATTCATATTAATTGATATCCCATTCCAAAGTTTTCATACTAGGGGTATATATATATATATATATATATATATATATATATATATACAGAGAAATATATCATGAATATATCAATATATACATGTATGTATATGTTTCTGTGCTAATCACATCATTGCCAGCTCAGGAAAAAGATTTTCTCTTGGGATCAGGTTGATAATTGCTTAAATTCCCTTTGCCTGACTGAAATAATGCTATTCCTTTTGGCACATACATTATAAGGAAGAACATTGTTCAGTTTCGCCTTAGGAATTTCTACCTGATCTGTGTTGCAAAAGCATTGCAAGCCTAAGTAGATCACGCAAACTATCAGCATCAATGGTCATCTACGCCTTATACATTACATTTGGGAAACACAGTCCTGATTCTTTAAAATTACGTTTGCTGCTGTAACTACATTTAATCAAGTTGTTTCAGTCATATTAAATAATATTTTTACATATTTATCACCCACATTTTTTAGGTTTTCCAGACAATGTATTTTACGGTCTACAGTACTGTTGATTGATGGTTGAATGGTTCAGTAGCCATTGAAGCCAAGATCTTTGGTTCAATTCTTAGGAAATACATACGTAAAACGTAAAATATGTATACTTTAAATGCAATGTAAGTTGCTTTGTATAAAAACATCGGTCAGATGTAAATGGTTATTCTTTCTAGCGTGTGTTCAGGCCATATTATTGCAATATATTTACTTTTGTGTGTCACTAAATAGTAATTAGTCATGTTTATACTGTTTAAATGTTATTTTGTATAAACTGTACTGTACACATGTGCTTAAGTCATCTGCCTGGCTATGTGTTATCTGATTGTTGTCGTTTGTGAAACCCCTCCTCCCCGCCTACCCCTGAGCGCGGCCCCGAGCCAGCCAGCAGCGCCGCAGAGTTCAGTTCACTCGGGCCGGGTAGAGGAATTGAGAGGGGTGCCGCGCGGCTCAGGGACCAGACCTGACAGTAAGCTGACTCGGAATGGATACTCACGACACATATTTACATCTCCGTAAGTCGCAGTGTCTTTTCATTTCCTGTTGCTGCTCTCCTGTATCATCTTTGCGCAGTTGCCCGTGCCGTACACGCGTGCGTGCCGTCAAAGTTTAATTAAACAACTTCGTTGATGAACTTCAGTTCAGACTGATTATTGTCCCATCAAACCGCGTGCTTTGCTATGTATTG